TTAGCTGGGTGTGGTGGTGGGCACCTGTAATCCCAGCTACTCGAAAGGCTGAGGCAGGAGAATCACTTGAACCTGGGAGGCGGAGGTTGCGGTGAGCCAAGATTCTGCCACTGCACTCCAGCCCTAGCGACAGTGCAAGACTTCAACTCAAGAAAAAAAATAAAAAGATTTCCGGAGACGTTCTCTGTCATGCCGCTTTAGTGTGAAGCAGTTGTGAGAACGGTGTCTGCAGAACTGTTGCCTGGAATGAGGTGTGAGCGAGCAGGGGAGGGCGGGAAGGGACTGGTGAGAGCTGGGGCGAGTCAAGCCACCCTTTCATGCCTGCTTCCCCACTCCTGTCTCTCAGCGGCTAATTCTCTGCTCCCCTCGCCCATGAGAGGCAGGAAGACTGACCTGGGCAACGTCCCACCAGTATCCTTGCTTTTTCCAGGTCTTCGCCTATTTCTTTCTTTCTAGTTTTTTATTTCCACAGGTTTTTGGGGAATAGGCGGTATCTAGTTATGTGAGTGGTGATTTGTGAGATTTTGGTGCATCCATCACCCCCAGCAGTATACAGTGAAACAATTTGTAGCCTTTTATCCCTCACCTCCTTCCCCCCCTTTCCCAAACCAGTCCCCAAATTTTTTTTTTTTTTTTTTTTTTTTTTTTTGTTTGAGGAGGAGAAGTCTCATTCCATTGCTCAGGCTGGAGTACAGTGGTGGCGATCTCCGCTCACTGCAACCTCTGCCTCCCAGGTTCAAGCAATTCTCCTGCCTCAGCCTCCTGAGTTGCTGGGATTACAGGCATGTGCCACCACACCCGGCTAATTTTTGTATTTTTAGCAGCGACAGGGTTTCTCCATGTGGGCCAGGCTGGTCTCGAACCCTGACCTCAGGTGATCCACCCACCTCAGCCTCCCAAAGTGCCAAGATCACAGACGTAAGCCACCATGCCTGGCCCCATTTTATCATTCTTATGCCATTGCATCCTCATAGTTTGGCTCCCACTTGTGAGTGAGTGAGTTTCCGTTCCTGAGTTACTTCACTTAGTATAATAGTCTCCAGTTCCATTCAGGTTGTTGCTAATGCCATTAATTCATTTCTTTTCATAGCTGAGTAGTATTCCGTCGTATACCTATACCACAGTTTCTTCACCCAGTCATTGATTGACGGGTGTTCGGGCTGTTTCCACACTTTTGCAGTTGCGAATCTGCCCCCAACACCAATCTAGTTAAATCTGATTTGTCCTTTAAGATTCCCTGAGGTTGGCTGGGCACGGTGGCTCATGCCTGGAATCCTCGTGCTTTGGGAGGCAGAGGCTGGCGGATCACGAGGTCAGGAGTTGGAGACCAGCCTGGCCAAGATGGTGAAATCCTGTCTCTACTTAAAATACAAAAATTAGCTGAGCACAGTGGCGTGAGCCTACAATTTAGCTACTCAGGACGCTGTGGCAGGAGAATTGCTTCAACCCAAGAGGCAGCGGTTACAGTGACAGAGCCAGACTCCATCTCAAAAAAAAAAAAAAAGATTTCCTGAGGTTGTCCCTTGCTCTATGAAGCCACTTCCCCTCCTCACACCTACTTTCCCTACACTGCTCTGTTCAAATGCAGAATTTCTGTGGCACTCGTTATGTGCTTAGAGAAACTTGGCGAAGGAGTAGCAAACCTCAAAGTAGGGAAAAAAACAAAGTCAGAACTTGCCAAAGACTGTCTGTTCCTGCAACTCCTGAGACAGAAAAAAGAGCGCTTCTGGAGGAGGCAGGGAGTAGGCGTCAGGCCTGGGCTCCTTTGCTGGTTATTTTTAGAGCCCAGTGCAAAGATCAGAAAGATCTATTCCCTTCACATTAATCTCTTTGCGTCAGGCCAGGTCATTTAAGCCCTGGGAGGAGCAGTCATTTTGTACATAGTTAAAGAAAGTGAACTAGGAGCGTCAGAGTTGCTCCCGGGCCCCTTTGAGGTCCCTGAATTCTATTAGTTTCCAAAAGCAAGACGTCAGCATGGCCACGTCCTCTGTCAAAGCTCAAGGGTCTGGCCCACACCTCTCTCCTAGCCCTTGGGAGCTGCTAGCAATCTTTGCATTCTTTGGCTTATGACTGCATCACCCCAATTTCTGCCTGTCTTCGTATGACTTTCTTTCCTCTGTGTGTATTTGTGTCTTTTATAAGAACATCAGTCAGATTGGATTCAGGGCCCACCCCACTCCACCAGTGTCACCTCACCTTAACTAATCACATCAGTGAAGACCCAATTCTCAAATAAGTTCACATTCTGAGGTTCTGGTAAGGATGTGAGTCTGGGGGAGATGCTTTCTCTTTTTTTTTTTTTTTTTTTTTTAAAGACAGAGTCTCTCTCTGTCACCAGGCTGGAGTGCAGTGGCTTGATCTTGGTTCACTGCAACCTCTGCCTCCTGGGTTCAAGCAATTCTCCTGCCTCAGGCTCCCAAGTAGCTGGGACTACAGGCATGCGTCACAACGCCCAGCTATTTTTTGTGTGTTTTTAGTAGAGACAGGGTTTCACCATGTTGGCCAGGATGGTCTGGAACTCCTGACCTTGTGATCTGTCTGCCTCGGCCTCCCAAACTGCTGGGATTACAGGTGTGAGCCCCCACGCCCAGCCTGGGGGAACACTCTCTAACCAAGTTCACTAACCTAACCCTGATCACGCACTGGCTCAAAGGAGCAGTGGCAGGTAGAGACGCCTGAGATGAAGCACCAGAGGTGTTGACTGTGGATGAAAAGGAGCTGGCCTGGCCCCTATACCTGTGTCCCCGCTATACCTATAGTAGCGAGGGAGAAGGAAAAGAAACATCAGTTGGGGAAAATTCCAACCTCAGAAGCGGCTTGCCTGAAAAGTCAAAGCAACTGGCAAAATTAAACCTGCACACAGAAGCCCTTTGTTCTTTGTAAAACTAGCAGGCTCCCAGGAAAAAGTTTCCTCCCCTTTTCAGACACATACACAGTGGGCTCCATGGAAACTGGCACAGGGAGGAGGGGGCTCACCTAAAACAAACCCACAGTTACACAAACAAGACAAGCAGCGCTTTGTGCCTGCCTAGAGACACACCCACAGTTGCATGAGGGGAGTTGCACAAACAGTTTTACTGATGACGCTACTCAGTTACAGCGAGGAGAGCAGTTTCTCATAAAAGTTTTCTGCGGCTACAGTGGCTGACACCTGTAATCCCAGCACTTTGGGAGGTCGAGGCAGGCGGATCACCTGAGGGCAGGAGTTAGAGACCAACATGGCCAACATGGTGAATCTTAGTCTCTACTAAAAATACAAAAATTAGTGGGGTATGGTGGCGCCCACCTATAATCCCAGCTACTGGGTGTAAGGTCATTTAGGCTGACAGCACCATGGACTGCATGGTAACCTCTGTGACCTGCATGTACACCTCCAGATGAGTTCCTGCAAATAGAAAGTCTGCAGTAACTGGAAAACACAAAAGGGAAGAAATGAGACATTCTTCTATTGTTGCTATTCCCACCTCAACTGACAAGGCCATTGGACTTTGTAACCGACCTTGGTCAACCTTGTGACTGCAGACCCTACATCCCCCTCCCAGCTTGCAAAAACCGCCCTAAACTGTAACTTCTGTAACTTTCCACTGCCTACCCAAAACCTGTAAAACCAACTCCTATCCCACCACCCTCCCTGACTCTCTTTTTGGATTCAGCCCGCCAGCAAAGGGGTGAATAAACAGCCATGTTGCTCACAAAAAGCCTGTTTGGGGGATCTCTTCATTCCGGGCATGAGTTTTAACACTCAGAAAGCTGAGGCAGGAGAATCATTTGAACCTGGTGAGGCAGAGGTTGCAGTGAGCTGAGATCGCACCACTGCACCCCAGCCTGGGCAACAAGAGCAAAACTCTGTCTCAAAAATATATATATATATATTTGTTGTATTCAGCTGTAATCTGACAATCCACTCAGACATCCCTCTCCACTTCGGAGAGCTTTCTTCTTTCCCATATTAAACATTTGCTCCAACCCCACCCTGGTGTCCACGCTCCTTAATTTTCTTGGAGATAGGACAAAGAACCCTGGGTACTAGTTTCAGACAAGGAGAAACTGCTACATTAAGGTGCACTGGCAAGACTGCAACAGTATCAGGCCAACTAAACTTGCCATGGCTCCTGGAGTGGCCCATGCACTGCACCAGCACCAAATCGTCACCTAACCCTGGACCCTGCACTGGGACAAGAGGCCTGAAGAGACTAAGCCTCTCAGAGGAAGCTTGAAGCACATACTACAAAATAAACTGGATTCTACACCCAGGGCCAGCTTCATGGGCTCACTCAGAAGGTCCCTGGCTTGCTGTAACCATTTGCTCTGGCCATTTTGAAATTCTTAGCAGTTTTCTGTTTTTTTTTAGCAAGCGTCCCCAGGTTTTCATTTTGCACTGAGTCCCACAAACTATGTAATTGGCCTGTCTTCAAAAATGTCAAGGTGATAAAAGACAAAAGGCTGAGGAAGCTTCCAGATTAAGGGAGATCAAAGAGATATGACAACTAAAAGCAACACCTGGATTACAGGGTCGGAGGCAGGGAGTGGGATAGCTATAAGCACCCCCCGCAAAAAAAAAAAAAAAAAAAAAGACATTATAGGGAAAATTATAGGGAAAATTGCCAAAATTTAAAGGTTAGCTGTGGATGAGATCACATAACGGCGTCACTGGGAAATGCCCTAATGTTATTTGTCCTGTGGTTAAAAAAATGCCCTTGTTCTTAGAAGATGCATAGTGAGGTATGGGGGAAAGAATCATGATGTCTGCAATCTGGTTGCCATTGGTTCAGGAAAAACAAAGCACAATTGATTAAGTAAACAGGACAATCCTAAACAATTGCTAAACATGAATAAAAGTTCTACAGCAGTTCTTTATGCTCTCCTTACAACTTTCTGTAGGTTTGAGATTATCTCAAGATAAAAAGTCACCCGCTGTCCCCCACCCCCCGCCCCCGGCCAAAAAGAGCATTGGCAACTCACTCCGAGCTGAAAGCAGCCACCCCGGGACCTGAGTCACGTGAGGCGAGCCCACGTGACCCGAGCCCCGGGTCCAACATGGCGGCCTCCACGGGTCGCTGGCTTGTCCTCAGGTTTGCGCTACTCGGCTTCTTCGGGGAGGCGTCCGGCGGCCTCGGCTCAGGGTGAGTGCGGCTCCCAGGGCAAGCCTGGTTCGGGGGCGTCCCCCCTGTCTTCTGAGCTCACGAGGACAGCCCCCCTAACTCAGGCCCGTCCGTCCCCGCAGGACCTCCCGCGACGACGACTTGCTGCTGCCCTATCCACGCGAGCGCGCGCGCCTGCCCCGCGACTGCACACGGGTGCGCGCCGGCAGCCGCGAGCACGAGAGTTGGCCTCCGCCCCCCGCGACCCCTGGCGCCGGCGGCCTGGCCCTGCGCACTTTCGTGTCGCACTTCGGGGACCGCGCGGTGGCCGGCCACCTGACCTGGGCCGTTGCGCCCCTGCGCACCTTCTCGGTGCTGGAGCCCGGCGGGCCCGGCGGCTGCGCGGCGAGACGACGCGCCACCGTGGAGGAGACGGCGCGGGCGGCCGGCTGCCGCGTCGCCCAGAACGGCGGCTTCTTCCGCATGCACACGGGCGAGTGCCTGGGAAACGTAGTGAGCAACGAGCGGCGGGTGAGCAGCTCCGGGGGGCTGCAGAACGCGCAGTTCGGGATCCGCCGCGACGGGACCCTGGTCACCGGGTGAGGAGGCAGGGAGCCCCGTGCTGTCGAGGGCAGAGGGGCCGAGATAATGGGTTGTAGACGTGTCTCGGTGTTCAAGTCACTTAACCAAGCTGAGCCTCTGTTTCCTCATCTGCAGAATGGAGATAGGAATCGCTTCCTTGCAGACTTTATCCATCATCCAGCATTATTGAGCACTTGCTTGTATGAGGCAATGTGCTGCGCCCTGGTTACGATATTAGTGAACAACACACAGTCTTTGCCTTAACAGACCTCCCCCATTACTAGAACAATCAACAAAAGCCAGGTAAATCCCTAACATACATTCTGACCGCTGTGTGTGCATCAAGGCAACCATCGGGGTGAACCGGTTGTAAATACAGTGATGATTTTAGGGAGGGTGATCTGAAACAGGCCTCTCCGAGGTGACCTTTGAGTTGAGACTTTAAGATTAATCACTAAGTCAGTGAAGGTCAGAACTGGAGGAGGAGCATTTCAGTCCAAAGCAACCCCAAGTACAAAGGCTCAGAGGTGCAGGGGGGCTTCTGTGTGTGGGAGAGACTGAAAAAGGAGTGAGGTGTCAGACATCAAATCAGCAAGACTGATGATTTGAATTGTTTTAAATTATTTGAGGCTGGGCACGGTGGCTCACACCTGTCACCCCAACACTTTGGGAGGCCAAGGAAAGTGGATTACCTGAAGTCGGGAGTTCGAGACCTGCCTGGCCAACATGGCAAAACTTCCTCTACTAAAAATACAAAAATTAGGTTGGGAGTGGTGGCTCACCCCTTTAATCCCAGCACTTTGGGAGGCTGAGGTGGGCGGATCCCCAGGTCAGGAGTTGAAGACCATCCTGGCCAACATGGTGAAACCCTGCCTCTACTAAAAATACAAAAAATTTGCTGCATGTGGTAGCAGGCACCTGTAATCCCACCTACTTGGGAGACTGAGGCAGGAGAATCGCTTGAACCCAGGAGGTGGAGGTTGCAGTGAGGTGAGATTGCACCATGGCACTCCAGCCTAGGCAACAGAGCGAGATTCCATCTCAAAAAAAAAAAAAAATTAGGCATGGTGGTGGGCACCTGTAATCCCAGCTACTCGGGAGGCTCAGGTGGGAGGACTGCCTGAACCCAAGAAGTGTAGGTTGCAGTGAACAAAGATAGCACCATTGCCCTCCAGGCTGGGCAACAAGAGTGAGAATCAGTCTCAAAAAACAAACAAAAAAATTATTTGATGATGTCAAAGCTTGTCCTGATCCTAAGTGGAACCAAGTGGGAGAGATCAGTGGAGAAACGGGGAAGCCAATGACGAGGGTGTTACTGGGGTCAGGTGGTAGTGGGGCTAAGTATGGCCTGGAGATTGAGGGCCGTAGATGGATTTGAGCCCTGTTGGGGGATGGTTGTTTCTATTCAATGAAACTTAGACTGTTTACAAAGGTGCATGGGGATCGTATTGTAAGAACCCTGTCTGGCTTCAGCTCTGACAGCAGGCAGATAGCTAGGGCTGTGAAATTGTCTCAGCCATACTCAGGCCCCAACATGTTCTTGGGGCAGGAGGGGGAAATCTAGCCGCCAGGCTGGCATGGCCAGGGAGAAGGAACCTAACTCCCCACAGCTACCCATGCTGGTGAGTGAGCTTCCCACCTTCCCTGGGTCCAGGTACTTGTCTGAGGAGGAGGTGCTGGACACTGAGAACCCATTTGTGCAGCTGCTGAGTGGTGTCGTGTGGCTGATTCGTAATGGAAGCATCTACATCAACGAGAGCCAAGCCACTGAATGCGATGAGACACAGGAGACAGGTTAGATGGGGAGGCTGTTGGCAACAGCCCTCTTGAGAACCAGGACCAGTGGGCTGGGGGGAGCTGTTCTTAAGTCTTTCAACAAGTTTTTATTGAGCAGCTACTTTGTGCCCAGCACTATTCTGGGTTCTGGGGATTCATGGGAATGAAGACAGGCTTATGGAATATATAAGAATAAAAATAGTGGTAGAATATGCTGAAAATAATTGGTTAGTACTCAGTAAGAAAAATAAGTTGGAGGAAAGGGAAGAGATGGGGACAGGAGCTATGGGCACAGGAAGAGAAAAGTGAAGAGAAAAACATCTTCATGGACCTGCAACATCAGCATGGCCCAGGAGCTTGTTCCAAAGCCCCATCCACCTCAGACCTTCAGATTCAGAGGTGAGGCTCAAGAGTCTGTTTTAACGGGCCTCCATGGTGATTCTGTTGGACACTCAAGGTTGAGGTCCACTGGGATGCAGAATCCTGGGGTGGGGACAGGATACCATGGCGCTGATATGGGCGTGGGCTGTTTTACAGTCGGCAGTAAGCTGGGTGTGTGGCTCACACCTGTAATCCCAGCACTGTGGGAGACCGAAGTGGGAGGATCCCTGGAGCCCAGGAGTTTAAGACCTACCTGGGCAACATAGTGAGAGCCATCTCCACCAAAAAAATACAAAAATGAGCCAGGCGTGGTGCTGTGTGCCTACATGTAGTCGCAGCTATTTGGGAGGCTGAGGTAGGAGAATTGGTTGAACCCCAGAGGTGGAGGTTAAAGTGAGCTGAGATCGCACCACTGCACTCCATCCGGCGTGACACAGCAAGACTCTGTCTTGAAAAAAAGAGTGAGCAGTGAAGGAATGCCTCACTAAGCAGGTGATCCGACAAAGGAACAAACTGTGGGAGAGCTAGAGAAAAGCACACTTCCCAGCCAGAGGGATCAGGAAGTGCAAAGTGGCTGCAGGGTGGTGAGTGGATACCCGAGAGTTGAGGCAGGAAGAGGAAGAGGCTGGGTAGGGCATGCTGGCCCTTTGGACCTCGTTCTAAGAACGGGGGAAACCATGAGAGGGTCTTCATCTGGAGGCCAACACAGCTTGGTTAACCTGTAAGAGGAGCCCTCCTGGCTGCCCTGGGGAGACTGGAATGTGCAGACAGGAGGCAGGGACACGAGCGGGGAGGCTGCTGTGCTTCCCAGGGAGATACCTCGTAGCTTAGACCAGTGGGAAGTGGAGTTCGGCCAGAGGCAGGTGGCCTCCCTAGGGGCTGGTGATCAGCCAGGTTGCTTCTCCTTCAGGTTCCTTTAGCAAATTTGTGAATGTGATATCAGCCAGGACGGCCATCGGCCACGGCTGGAAGGGCCAGCTGGTGCTGTTTCATGCGGACGGCCAAACGGAGCAGCGTGGGTGAGTCCTGGGAGCTGAGGACCCCCGGCCAGGGCTCAGTCCTGCTGGCAGGAACACTGACCCAACGACTGCCACCCTTCTAACTCTACCTGCTTTCCAGGGTGTTCACACCTACATGTCCCCTACCCAGAGGCCCCCTTCCCCACCCCCCCGCCTTGCCTTCCTACAGGATGAGGGTCCTGAGATCTTTCCCGATTCCAAGAACTCATCATCTCCAGCTTTAGACCTCACGTCTCCTGAGCCCTGTTTGGGATACAAGGAAGTGGTCACAAAGTTAGTAGGGAGAAGACCTTGATTCAGCCACCCTGTGGCGTAGACAAGTCACCCAGCCTCTCTGAGTCGCATTTCCACCGTCTGTAAACAGAGCGGGTGGGCTTGCTCTGGCTGCATAACTAGCACAAATTTAGCAGCACTTCACCGGGCATGTCCTTTAGTTTGTTTCTTCGAGACCGGGTCTCACTCCGTCACTCGGGCTAGGTGCAGTGGTGCAGTCTCAGCTCACTGCAACCTCCACTTCGGGTTCAGGCAGTCCTCCCACCTGAGCCTCCCAAGTAGCTGGGATTACAGGCCCCTATCACCACACCTGGCTAATTTTTGTGTTTTTAGTAGAGATGGGGTTTCAACATGTTGGCCAGGCTGGTCTCAAACTCCTGACCTCACGTGATTCACCCGCCTTGGCCTCCCAAAATTCTGGGATTACAGGCGTGAGCCACTGCACCTGGTTAGTTTTTGTATTTGTAGTACAAACAGGTTTCGGCATGCTGGCTGGGCTGGTCAACTTGGAAGGTTCTATGTTGAGGGTATCCCATGGACAAGATGCTGGTCGGGCAGGGCTATTCTCTTATCTGGGAAAGATCCTCTTGTTTAGGTTATTGGCAAAATCCACGTCCCCTCAGTTGTGAGACTGGAGTCTTGGCTTCCCTCCTGGCCGCCATCTGGGGCCTCAGCTTCTTCAAACTGCCCAGGTTCCTTCCCACGTGTGTCCCCTCCCCCACTTGTCCGGCTACCCTCTCATCCCCCTCGTATTTCAAATCTCACTTGCTCTTCTACCACCAGCCAGTTTTCTGTGTTTAATGGCTCCTGTGATTCCAGTGGTCCCACCCAGATCCTCCGGGCCATGTCCCCTCCCTTAAGGTACCTGTGCCGTGTAACTGCACAGGCATGGGTTTGATCTCGTGTGTTCACAGCTTCTGGGGACCAGGGCGAGACATGTTTAGGGGCAGGGACCACTTAGCAGTGTGCCTTCACTGTGGATGTGACGCTGTGCCCATGGCAGGCAGAGGAGTTAAATTGGAAACAATGGTGGGCGCTGAGCCTGAGCAGAGCCGCTTTGTGCCGCAGCATCAATCTTTGGGAGATGGCAGAGTTCCTGCTGAAACAGAATGTGGTCAACGCTATCAACCTGGATGGGGGTGGCTCTGCCACCTTTGTGCTCAATGGAACCTTGGCCAGTTACCCATCAGATCACTGGTAAGCACATGGGAGTCTGCCTTTGTGACGGCTGCAGCTCAGGTCTGCCCCTGCCTGTCCCATTCAGCCAGTGGTGAGTGCCTGCTTTGTGCCAGGCCCCGGGGATTCAAGAGAAATTGCTGCAGTCCCTTCCCCAGGATGCTAGTACTGCCCAGGCCTGGGAACAGGGGTCAGTTGGTCAGCAAAGACCTCTATGACAAAAACAAAAGAAGTGAGATCTGAAGGAGGAAGTAGCTGGGTGGGGTGGGAGAGCCTTCCAGGCAGAGGGCACCACGTTTGCAAAGGCCTGGTGCTGGTGAGGATTATAGGGAGCGGGAGAACCTATGAAAGGCTGGAGAGGGCCAGGCACAGGGGCTCACACCTGGAATCCCAGTGCTTGGGAGGCTGAGGTGGGAGGATCGCCTGAGCCCGGGAGTTGAAGACCAGCCTGGGCAACATGATGAGACCCCGTCTCTACAAAAAAATTTAAAAACTTAGCTGGGTGTGGTGGTGCACACCTATAGTCCCAGCTGCTCGGGAGGTTGAGGCGGAAGGATGGAAATAACTGCATCTCAAAGGTAGGCAGGTAGATAAGGTGGATGGGTGGGTGGGTGGGTGGATGGATGGAAAGGAGGAAGGAAAGATAGATAGATAAGATAGGTAGGTAGATAATTAGATGGATGGATAGATAGGTAGGTAGGTAGATAAGGTAGGCAGATAGATAGAGTAGGTAGGTAGATGAGGTGGGTGGGTGGGTGCGTGAGTAGGTAGACAGATAGATAGGTAAATAGATAAGATAGCAGGTAGGTAGGCAGGTAGGTAGGTAGACAGATAGAATGTAGAGAGGGGCTGGGGGGCAGCCCTGGGGGAGTTGAGGGGCCATCTGGGGGTGGCCTGTCCTCACATCCTCCTCTCTGCAGCCAAGACAACATGTGGCGCTGTCCCCGCCAAGTGTCCACCGTGGTATGTGTGCACGAGCCCCGCTGCCAGCCGCCTGACTGCCACGGCCACGGAACCTGCGTGGATGGCCACTGCCAGTGCACTGGGCACTTCTGGCGAGGCCCTGGCTGCAGTGAGCTGGACTGCGGCCCCTCTAACTGCAGCCAGCACGGGCTATGCACAGAGAGTGAGTGGGGGCTCCGGGGAGGGGGCTCTGGCCAGCCCTGCCTTGCCCGGGCCCTCACCTGGCCTCCCCGGTCTTATCTCGGCAGCCGGCTGCCGCTGTGATGCCGGATGGACTGGGTCCAACTGCAGTGAAGGTAGGAGCCGCCACGCCACCCGTGGATGGGGAGACGGTGGCCCCGGCTGCGTCCGCTGCTCCCCTCCCGCTCCTGTCCCCTCCTTCTGGTCTCGGAACTGCTTGCCTCTTGTCTCCTGCCGCTGCCTCGCCTGCATGTCACTGCGTGATTCCCCTGCGGCTGCTGTGGCCCATTCCACAAAGGACTTGGCTAAAACAAGGACCCCCCGGCTTTGGCTCCAGGCCCACCTTAAATCCAGGGTGATCTCGTCTTGAGATCCTAACTGAAGTCCCTCTGCAAAGATTCTGCTTCCAAATAAGGTCACACTCGGGCTAGCCCAGGGGGCAGACAGTGCTTTGCCTTTAGCCCAGCTCTGCCAGCATGGGGCAGGGTGGTTACCCTGCCCTGTCAAGAGAGGCTCTGACGCCGGAGGCCTCGACGTACCTTCTCCCATCTCCTCTCCATAGAGTGTCCCCTTGGCTGGCACGGGCCGGGCTGCCAGAGGCCTTGTGAGTGTGAGCACCAGTGTCCCTGTGACCCCCAGACTGGCAACTGCAGTGTCTCTGGAGGTATCTGCCCCTCCCAGGGGAGGGGCTATGGGCAGACACTCCTGCTCTGGCCCCTGCAGCGTGTCTGGTTTCTTACAGTAAAGCAGTGTCTGCAGCCACCTGAAGCCACCCTGAGGGCAGGAGAACTCTCCTTTTTCACCAGGTAGGTGCCTCTGTGGGAGCTGGGACCAGGGTGGGAGGAATTCCCTTCTCTCCCCCTCCCTTCCCCTTCGAGGTCTGCCTCTGCCCAGGACTGAGCAAGGCTTTAGAAAGCGTGGTCTTGGTATCCAGCTGGTATTTCCTGATTAGGCCTGGGGACAGTCACAGCTGCTGCTGGCAGCAACAGGACAATCTAGGAAGATGGCGAGAAGAGCCCCATGGCACCACCCTGTTGGGACTGATCAGGGAAGGCTGAGGTGTGCGTTTCCCCGGCCCGAAGACTCAGGACTGACTTTCTCAGCTCTTGGTGCACAGAACCCCAGACCTGAGGCACTCGCATCATCCCTCAAGCACCCTGGTGCCCTTGGGCCTGGATTGGTGATTTTCTGTTTTCTCGTGCGGTGGGTCTCGAACTCGATACCGCCAGAGAATTTATTAAAAGAGATGGCTGGGCCCCACCCCCAGAGTTTCTGCATCAGTAGGTCTGGGGTGGAGCCTGGAAATCAGCATTTCTGACACCATCCCAGGTGAAGCCGAGGCTGCTGGTCCCAGGACCCCACTTTCAGAACCCCTGTTCTGGTGGTTCTCACCTCTGATAGCCCAATCCCAGTGCCAGGGCACTCCCCAAACCCTGGCAGCAGGCACTCGGCCTGGGCATAAACAAAAAGCCTCCCGGGCATTGTCCTAGAGCTCCCGGGGCGCCCTCTCAGAACGGCAGATTCCAGGCCCCTCCCAGAGATCCTGGTAAATCTGGGGTGAGGCCCAGAGCTGCCCATGCCTGGAGAAAATGCCCTGAAGCGCTCAGTTTGAAAATGTACCAGGGCAGGGACACAGCTGCACCCCCAGGCCTTAAATTCAGGCTCCTCCCAGTCTGAGGCTTTGTGCCCCGTTGCCCTGCAGGTCTGGGAGCCGGTGGAGGGCCCAGCCCCTGAGCCCTGTGCATGTGCTTACTTTTGCAGTGAGGGCTTTTGCCCAAGATTCATAGGAAGATAAAAAACATCGTTGAAAGCCCCTGCCCTTGTCCCCTGCTGGCTCCCTGCTCTAGGGGAAAGGAGACCAGTTCTCCCCACTGTGTCTGCTTTGGGGGCCTTGGAGCAGAGCCCAGGACCTCTGAGTGCCCAGCCTGTGTGGTCAGCATCCCCCTGGAGCTCAGAATGCAACCTGGACTAGATGAGCTCCCAGCACGGGGGGCAGGGTGTTTTCTCACTCTGTCACCCAGGCGGAAATGCCATGGTACAATCATAGCTCACTGCAGTCCTCCTGGCCCAGCTTCCCAAGTAGCTAGGACGACAGACGCATGCCCCCATGCCTGGCTAATTTTATTTTTCACTGTTTTTTAGAGATGAATCTTGCTGTGTTACACAGACGAGGTGTACAGTCCTGGGCTCAAGCGATCCTCCCGCCTTGGCCTCCCAGCCCCCGTGCCCAGCCTCTGGCTGTGGTTTATTTGGCTTACACAATTTTAAAAAATTTAAAATATATTAGCAGCATCTGAACATCAGTAGCATTCACATTTTTAAAACTTTTTTTTTTTTTTAAAGACAGTCTCACTCTGTCGCTAAGGTTGGAGTGCAGTGGCGTGATCTTGGCTCACTGCAACCTCAGCCTCCCGGGTTCAGGTGATTCTTCTGCCTCAGCCTCCTGAGTAGCTGGAATTACAAGTGCCCAGTTAATTTTCGTATTTTTAGTAGAGATGGGGTTTCGCCATGTTGGCCAGGCTGGTCTTGAACCCCTGACCTCAAGTGATTCACCTGCCTACTAAAAATACGAAAGCTAGCCAAGCGTGGTGGCTCCAGCCTGTAGTCCCAGCTACTCGGGAGGCTGAGGCAGGGGAATCTCTTGAACTCAGGAGGTGAAGGTTGTAGTAAGCTGAGCTCATGCCACTCCACTCCAGCCTGGGTGACAGAGCAAGACAGTGTGTGTGTGTGTGTGTGTGTGTGTGTGTGTATAGACACATATATATATATATACACAGAGAGAGAGAGAGAGAGAGAGGAGAGACACAAATATACATAGATAAAATATATAACGTAATAGATATACATTACATAATGTGATGTATTACATGTATACTATATAATATATATAAATTACATATATAGTATCATGTATGTAATATGTATCATATATATGTATGGTATAGGAACCACATACATGTGTAATATATGTGTTATATATTACATATCTATATATTAGGAGATGGGGCAGCACAGACCTGCATTGTATGTCATTGCTGCCTCTGCCGTTCCCTGAACATGTGTTAAATGTGGCTTCGTCCTCACCTAGTCCATTTTGCTCATGACATTCCCTGTGTGGTCCCTGAAGGCACCTGAATGAGTGCTCTCTGTGCTGGGTGGAGCAGGGAAGCCCCTCCAGCATTCCCCCAGCCCCGAGTCCACCCAGCAGCCCCCCACTTGGGGCTTCTCTCCTTCTCTGTGCAGGACCACCTGGCTGGCCCTCACCCTGGTGCTGGCCTTCCTCCTGCTGATCAGCACCACAGCAAACCTGTCCTTGCTCCTGTCCAGAGCACAGAGGAACCGGCGACTGTGTGGGGACTACGCCTACCACCCACTGCAGGAGATGAATGGGGAGCCCCTGGCCACAGAGAAGGAGCAGCTGGGGGGCGCCCACAACCCCTTCAAGGACTGAAGCCTCAATCTGCCCGGGGTGGCATGTCCCAAAGGCTTGTTTCCCCACAGTCCAGCTTCTGCAGGGGAAATGTCACGGCCCCTGGCATGGACCATCTGGGTGTCCTCAGCCCCTGCGCTGCAGCCAAGTTCCTGATAGCACTTGTGCCTCAGCCCCTCACCTGGCCGCCCGCCGGGGCACCTGTGACCCTAGCAATCCCATGCTCTCCGAGAGACTGAGCCTCCTGCTTCCTGCCTGCCTGTGTCTGCTGCCGAGAAGCCTGTGCCCCGGGAGGGCCGCTGCACTGCCAAAGAGTCTCCCTCCTCCTGGGGAAAGGGGCTGCCCGCAAACCGAACTCAGTGACCAAATCATGACAAAACAGCACATCGTGGCCAGCACCCCGGCTGCAGTGGAAGGGACAAGTCTGCCCTCCTGTGACACAGGACCCCTTTCTACAGACCTCGTCACTGGATTTGCCAGCTCAAATTGGGTTTCCTGTCATGGGAAGCTTCGGGTGAAATCATGTTTACAGACCTATTTTGTCATCCTGCTGCCAAGAAGATTTTTTTAATCACTTGAATAAATTGATAAAATAAAAGGAGCCACCAGGTGGTGTCTGGATTCTGCATCATGGACTTCAGGGCACTGCTGGGGCTTAGCAGCAGACACTTATCCTGAAACAGAGGTCACCACGGCGGCCGCAAGCCAAGTCCTGGTGCTTGCTTATGTAAGCCAGTGCTTCTCAAACTTTAATATGCCACAGGTTATAAGGAGATCTTGTTAAAATGCAGATTGGGGCCTCGGGTGAGGCCAGCAATTCATTTCCAGCAAGCTCGCAGGTGACACTGGTGCTCCAGGTCTCAGGGTCCTGCTCTGTTGCCCCAGCTGGAGTGCAGTGGTGCAGTCTTGGCTCACTGCAGCTTCGACCTCCTGGGCTCAAGTGGTTCTCCCGCCTCAGCCTCCCAAGTAGCTGGGACTGCAAGCACATGCCACCATGCCTAGCTAATTTTTTAAATTTTTTTACAGAGAAGTGGTCTCACTGTGTTGCCTAGGCTGGTCTTGAATTCCTGGATTCAAGTGACCCTCCTGCCTTGGCCTCCCAAAGCGCTGGGATTACAGGCATGAGCGCTTGCACCTGGCCTGTAATTTCTTTTTAATTTATCATTGTGATACCTATTTTCTTTGCCTTACAACTTCCTGTCTGTCTTTTACCAACAGCTCTGTCTCAGGCTGTGTTTCCCCAGCAGCAGAAACAGACGAGGATGTGAGAGCAAGTAGTTTATTGGAGAGGGGAGCCCAGGAAGCAGTGGCAGAGGACAGGGAGGGAAGGCGGCCTGCGCAGGATGCAGAAGTGAGCAGGTCTTTGCTGGAGCCCACAGGGCTCAATCCTGCTGGGGGCCTCCGGGAGAGATGGCAGAACAGGCCTCAGTCATACCACTCGAGGGCAAGGAAGCTGGGGTATTAGCCAACACCCAGTCGTCAGTGGTTGAGGGCCGCTCCTGGGGTTTGACTCCCTGGCACTGCTAGTCTGCCCTGCACAGAGACTGAGTGTGCCTTGGCAACCACAGGGAACTGTGGGAACGTTGCAGTGTCTTGCGACATGAAGCCTTCCATGGTAATGAGAGTGCCCGGGGAGGCGGCCAGGGCTCCAGGATCCCTGGCTGTGAGCCTCCAGCGCGTTGCTTCCAGGCTAGTATCACTCCCCCGTTCTCCATCCAGGCAATTTGGGTGGCACTGTCTTCTCTCCACATGTTGCAGGTGAGCCTCAGAGACTGGTCCAGAGTTAGGCACCTGCCCCGGGGCAGCCAGTTAGAGCCCACCCTGGAACTTCTGCTGCAGCTAGAAGAAGAAACTCTCTCTGCTGGAATTATCTAACTTCCAAGGTGTGGACCACAAGGAGGAGGAAGGGAAACCAACTCTTTTCCAATGTGAAGAAGACCTGATCAGAACCAAGAGGTGGAGAGGGACAGCCAGTATGGGAATGGACTAAACCGAGGGTGAGGGAGACCATGATTTGAATGCCTGGATCCAGCTATACCTGAAGCCAGTCATTCTTGGACGTCTTAATTACATGGACTCATAAATTCCCATTTTTGCTTGAGGCAATTTGCATTGGGTTTTGGGGGTGTCCCACAACCCAAAACGTGTGACGCTTATACTGTTAAAGGAGAGGCACATTTGGGGGCTCAGGCATTTAGATTTTGGACTGCAGAGCTGAGGACATGGAACAGGAGGCAGAAGTGTGTGAGACTCGAGTACCTACCTATGGTGGTGGTGGGGACACAGATAAGAGCTGAAGCCATCAAGCTGCAGGCGAGCTGGCTGGGGATTCACATGCTCCAATCCCAGCAGTGTGAGCGTCCTCTCCCCGACCCACGGTAGTGACTGAAGACCCGCAGGTACAGGCATGGGGGTCGTGGACTGCAGGCTGAAGTCTCTGCAGCCCAACTGGGAAGCCTGAGAGTTCCAGTTGCTGGGCTGTTGCCATGGTGGCACGTCTCAGCTGCTGGAGTGCTCTGCACAAAACTATTCAGTGGGTGGGCTTTCAAGGACTCTTTGGGGCCCCAAAACAAAGGAGATTCGTGTGTGTGTCCTGAGTTTTCATGGGATTTTCCAAGGAGTCTGTGTCTGAAAAAAAAAAAACTCCTGGCTCAGAGGCTTCCAATTGTGCTTTTTGCCAGCTTGGGCAACATGGCCCTGCCTCTACAAAAAAATACAAAAATTAGGAGTGGTGGCGCGCGCCTGTGGTTCCAGCTACTCTGAGGCTGAGGTGGGAGGATCACTTGAGACCAAGAGGTTGAGGCCGCAGTGAACAATGGTCACGCCACCGCACTCCAGCTGGGTGACAGAGACCCCATCTGCAAAACAAAATGTGATTTTTGGAGACCTGCATTCCTCCAAAATGTGTTGAGGGGCACAAGGCGCTAAGGGAGGCAGGGAAGTGGGCAGGGAGAAGTTCACGGCTGCAGCCGCTGACGTCCCTGGAGGTCCTGGTTCCTTTCCTCTCGGCCCTCCCAGCTCCCATGGCAGCTGCTTGCGTCCGACCCGACTCAACAGGGGCCTGCGCCCCAAGAACTGATCCCAGAGGCAGCCTCTGGGCCACAGGGAGCCCTGGCGTGCTTTGCCCACTCTGGAGCTGCAAGACGGGCATCAGCAGGGCCCCGCAGCTCAGGACTGGTCCCAGCTCCCTCTACCCTCCACAGCTCCGTCTTCCCCCACAGAGCTGTTCTTTCTCGACACCCGGCATACCCACGAGTCAGCTGGCTGTTCCTTTGAAACCCGCCGCCCACAGTTCCAGAGAAATCTAAGGAAGAGTCGCCACCAGTGAGCACACGCAAGTGCAAGCCGCCTCCTCTCCCCTGACGAGCTGTGCTGGGCAGGGCTGGGTGGCAGAAGCTGAGTGGACAGATGAACCTTGCTCCATCACCCAAAACACCACACCTGCTCTGCTCTCACAAGCGACCACCCCAGCCACCAGCTCCAGAAGGAAGGCTTTTCAGAGTCCGAGGATCTGTGTGGCAGCCAGCCCCATTCTCTGTGCCCCAAGAGACCTCAATGGAAGGACAGGTAGCACCCTGGACAGGGTCCAACACACTCTTCTGACGTCAGGACTGTGGCTGTCTTGGGATGTAGCTCTCCAGGACACCAGGTGTGGCACTGTGATAAAACCCCAGAGGGCAGGGCAGAGCAGCCCAGGAGAGATGGACACCAGGGCCCTCACTTTCACCTGGATACCTGGCAGGTAAATTCCCAGCAGTGCTGGGCAGGGCCCGGAGATCTTCATATCTGTTTAATGCAGATATAACTGTGTATCTGGTTATCTGTTGTGCTTTTTGCCAGCTTGGGCAACATGGCCCTACCTCTACAAAAAAAATACAAAAATTAGGAGTGGTGGCGCGCGCCTGTGGTTCCGGCTACTCTGAGGCTGAGGTGGGAGGATCGCTTGAGACCAAGAGGTTGAGGCCACAGTGAACAATGGTCACGCCACCGCACTGCAGCTGGGTGACAGAGACCCCATCTCCAAAATAAAATGTGATTTTTGGAGACCTGTGTTCCTCCAAAATGCATTGGGGGGCACAGGGCTGTTGTGTGTATACATAATAAGTTGAATAGCATGCCCCAAAATTCATGTCCATCTAGAACCTTAAAATGTGACCTCATTTAGAAATAAGATTTTTCGTTTTTTTTTTTTTTTTAAGACGGAGTCTTGTTCTGTTGCCCAGGCTGGAGTGCAATGGCGAGATCTCAACTCACTGCAACCTCTTCCCCCCTAGGTTCAAGTGATTCTCCTGCCTCAGCCTCCTGAGTTGCTGGGACTACAGGCATGCGCCATCATACCCGGCTGATTTTTGTATTTTTAGTAGAGATGAGGTTTCACCATGTTGGTCAAGATGGTCTCGAACTCCAAACCTTGTGATCCACTCGCCTCAGCCTCCCAAAGTGCTGGGATTATAGGTGTGAGCCACTGTGACTAGACTGAAATAAGATCATTGCAGATGTAATTAGTTAAGGATCTCAAGATGTTATACTGGACCTAGGATGGGTCCTAAATCCAATGACTGGTGTCCCTATAAGAAGGTGAGACACAGAGAGGGAGGAAGGCTGTATGACTTTGGAGGCAGAGATTGAAGTGATGCGACCACGGGCCACAAGGTGCCACCAGAAACCAGAAGAGGCAAGGAAGGGCCCTCCCCTACAGGCTTCAGAGGGAGCAGGGCCCTGCCTCCACGTCGATTCTGGACTTCCAGCCTCCAGAACTGTGAAAGAATACATTCCTGTTTTAAGCTACTGTGTGTGTGATAATTTGTCACAGTGACCCTAGGAAGCTGATACAGTATATTTCTGCTTTATATATAAAAATCGTAGGCCAGGCACGGTGGCTCACGCCTGTAATCCCAGCACTTTGGGAGGCCGAGGCGGGCAGATGACCTGAGGTCGGGAGTTTGAGACCAGCTGGGTTTTTTTGGGAGGGTGGGGTAGAGTCTCTGTCACCCAGGCTGGAGTGCAGTGGCACAATCTTAGCTCACTGCAACCTCTGCCTCCTGGGTTCAAGCAATTCTTCTGCCTCAGCCTCCTGAGTAGCTGGGACTACAGGTGCATGCCACCACGCCTGGCTAATTTTTGTATTTTTAGTAGAGACAGGGTTTTACCATATTGGTCAGGCTGGTCTTGAACTCCTGACCTTGTGATCTGCCTGCCTCGACCTCCCAAAGTTCTGGGATTACAGGCGTGAGCCACTGAGCCTGGCGTATCATCCCTGTTTCCAATGCTCTAAAGAAAGGGTGTCCAATCTTTTAGCTTTCCTGGGCCACATAAGAAAAAGAATTGTCTTGGGCCACACATAAAATACAGTAATGATAGCTGATGAGCTGACAAAGAAACACACACACACACACACACTCAATGCTTTAAGAAAGTTTACAAATTTGTGTTGGGTTGCATTTAAAGCAGTCCTAGGATGCATGCAGCCCATGGGCCCCAGGCTGAACAAGCTTGCTCTAAAGTCTTTTAAACAACAGCCGGAAAATTCCTGTTTGAGCCCACAGAAAACCTCCAGGGTTTTAGGAAGATGGAGATGTGAGTTTATCCAAATAGAAAACATTTAATGCTGCTGGTTGGAGCAAATGATCAGGCAAAAAACCCATCATGTTTCACCGGCTCAAACAGACTTTGTTGAAAAGAATTATACTATTCTCATTGAACAATTAGTTTTACGGGGGAGGGGAATTCCAGAGAATGCAGGGTAGAAAGAAAAGAATCTCAAGCTCTCCATATTTCAACCTCTGGGAAAAAACCTTCTCTAACTGCCAAGGGAAATACCGCTCAGAATACACTCCTTCAGACTGGAGAATTTGCCCAGAAAACACAAGCAGTTTCGTCTTTTCTTGAGACAGGGTCTTGCTTTGTCACCCAGGAGGAAGTGCAGTGGTGCGATCATGGGTCACTCCAGCCTCGACCTCCAAGCAATCTTCCTGCTTCAGCCTCCTGAGCTACTGAGACTATAGGTGTGCACCACCATGCCTGGCTCATTTTTAAATTTTTTTGTAGAGACAGGGTCTCACTATGTGGCCCAGGCTGGTCTTGAACTCCTGCACTGAAGCAGTCTGCCGGCCTAAGCCTCCCAAAGTGCTGGGATTATAGGTGTGAGCCACCACACCCGGCCCATACAAGCAGTTTCTAAAAAAGACTGCACACCCAACTCAGAGAGAAAGAGTTCTTGAGTATTCTGGGTGCAATCATGAAAAACAGTGATAGGCGACCTCAGGAAAAAAACTGGAGTCTTTGGATGAGAAGCATTAAGTAATCAGAATGACCACTGACATTAATTAAGCGCTTTCTGCATTCTGGGAGCTGTGCTGAAGGCTCAACAGCCACTCTCATTTCATCTCACTACAACCTATTGAGGTAGGCACTGCTCTCCTCACTTTACAGATGAGGAAACTGAGGCACAGAGAGGTTAAGTCACCTGCTCAAGGTTACACAGCTAGTGAAAGGAAGGCTGGGGTTTGAGTCCTGGTCTACATTCAAGACCCAGGCACCCAGACACCAATGGTCACGATACTTGTGGGTTGCTTCTGTCCTGGTCGCAATGCATTAATGAATTAATGATGTAAGCAGCCCAAGCCAAGGCATCTTCAGCCTTTGGCTCAGGGGAAATGCAAAAGCTTGGCAATCCCTTCCTTGGATTATGTTTAATTCCAGGCCTCCCGAAGGCAAGAAGAATGACCTTGATAATGCTTCAGCGTGGGTCCCAGAGACCTCCACATGGAAGGAGTGCCGGCCGTAGCGACGCCACCATGGAACCTGCTGGTTCTGTGGTCCAGCTTCTCTTGTCCACTAGGGGACTGACCCTCCCAATCCTGCTGCTGCTTCTGGAGGGAATGCCAATCACAGGACCCTAGCTCCTTGCCAGTGTGGGCCACAGGAATGAACATGTGACTCAAGCTGGGCCAATCAGAGCCTTCCATGAGATTGGAGATGGAAAAGCATCTCTTAGAGATTGTGAACCCCGAAGTTACAGGCCCTGGGCTGCTGGCAGCCACCTTTGCCACCAGATGGAAGAAATAATGAGGTGAGCATGCAAAGAGATGCAGAGTTGAGAGGCCTGGGTGCAGGTGAAAGGCCTGAGGACGTTAAGCTTCCAGATTCAGCCATACCTGAAGCAGCCTCAGTCTGCGCATCGCTGCCTGAAATCAGCAGAAACCCAGGGCTCTCCCACCCTCTCCAATCAGGGATCGTCAGGGTTAGGCCACACTGGCCAAGTGCAGGGGACATGGATTTTCAGTGCAGGGTGTGCTGTTCCCCCAAAGAACAGTGCCTGTAACTCACTTAACTGCTCACCAAGCGCATCTTGATACTGCATAACAGAACGTTGTTATGCAATCAAATGCCAAGGTGAACACCCTGCATTTCTGCCTCCCCAGCATCCTTTCCTACTTCTTCCTAGGAGGGATCCCAATCTTCCTTGAGGCACCCATTAGCCCTTTTCAAAGCAGGTGGTTGGTTCCAGAGATGTGCATGTGATCCAGACTAGTCAATCCCTGCACCTCACTGCAACCCCTGGGTCACAGTGATTGGTCCAGATGGGGTACATGACCCTGCTGGCCAATCAGCATTCTCCAATGTCCCTGGCAACTGTGATAGGTTCAGGATTTGACCTGGGAACCACCCCCCTTCCAGGCTAAGACTCAACTCTGGGATGTGGGTAGGAGCCTTTGGGAAGAAGAGGCTCCCTTATGCAGGCGAGCTGCTGGTGGGGGAAGGGCACCTAACAGTGATGGTCCTCTGCATAGTGAAAGCAGAGCAAGACGTGGAGAGCGGGGAGCTGGACCTGGCTGACATCGCTAAGCCTGGATCCAGGGAGACACGAAGTTGTGGCATGGAAGATGCCTTGGTCTTGGCCTTGGTCTTCCTTCCACAAAGCCGGAAGGAGATGATTCTGTCCTTGCAACCTCAAGAGCCCTGACACCACACACAGGCCTGGGCTGGATCCTTGCCATCCACTCCACACACCCCAGCTTGGGTAGCATCTAGGCCTGGGGCTTCAGCCCACATGGTCCCAGGCCCTGTGGTGAGCTGGCTTCTCATTCTGGACATTTCTGGACACTGGAGGCCAGCAGGCGGCCCTGAAACACTCAGCCCGGCTATCTGGAGACCAGGGAGCTGCTATGAGACTGGCCGGAGGAGGACGACGAAGTGGTGGTGCTGAGCTGGGAGAAGCCACTGGTGCAGGATTCCAGGCTGGACATGGAGCCCCTGGGGAGGAAGGGCGTGGCACACGTTACCCTCTTAGGTGGCAAAGCCCTTAGGCTGACACACAGCAGTGGAAAAGCTGTTGATGCTGCAATGAGGCCCCCCAGGGCCCTGAGCCAAGTGCAAAGGGACAAGCAAGTGACACCATAAAGAGAAAAGCGCTACCCAATTCCCCACAACCCCATCTCCCCAGACGGAGCCCAACCTGCCACAGACCCGTCAGGGGCTCTCCTGACCTAAGGCCCCAGCATGGCCCGAGGCCACCACAGCCTGGGGACTCCCCGGCCCTGTGTCCAGTCTCACTCCCTCCTTGCTCTTTTCATTCAAACTCCACGGGCCTCCTCCCAGCTCTTACGGTGGACTTCGTGTGTGCTGAGTCTGAAGCAGAAGCCCCTTCTCTTCTCCCCGAGTGGTCTGGTTAACTCCTACTCCAAACTGCAGGGCAGCATCATCCACAAGTACTTTATTTTCTTGTATAGAGATGGGGGTCTCACTATGCTGCCCAGGCTGGTCTCAAACTCCTGGGCTCAAGCAATCCTCGTGCCTCGGCCTCCCAAAGCGCTTGGATTCCAGGTGTGAGGCACCATGCCCAAATCTCATCTGGAATTGTTGGCCAGGCTGGTCTCGAACTCCTGACCTCAGGTGATCCTCCCACCTCAGCCTCCCAAAGTGCTAGGATTACAGGTGTGAGCTGCTGCGCCTGGCCCTGGGTAGTTCTTTATAGCAGTGTGAAAACAGATTAACACAGTGACCTTGGTCTTGGCATCCATTGCTGCCCATAGTTACACTTGGATGTGAGCATTTGTCTCTACTCCATGATGGCACACCCCATCTGTGTGGTCCCTCCAGGATCCAAGCCACTTCCTGCCACCTGAGGGTTACCAGGAAATAGCCTTTGAACTGATTTTCTCATGAGGCTACAGGAGGACAGGGCAGTAAGGTTCTCTCATGCTGACTACCCTAGACAGGTTGGTGTGCAGCGTCCCGTCCAGCCCAGCCCTCTGGCCTCCACATGCCTGGCCTCAGAATCAGCCTTCCCAGAGGCAGCCCTCCAATGCCTGTGTCTATTCCTCTGTGTCCTTCTGGGCCTCAACCTGTCACCTCACACTGAGAACTGATGGCCAAAACATGTGGCTTCAGAAAGAGTGAAATCGACAGCCACCTGATAAGCTATGGGGCCCCTCCTTGGTTAAAGACTCCGGTCCAGTGTTCCTCACCCTGGGCTACCCATGTTCCTGGAATCCTTGGAGCTCCAGCTGGAATTTGGGGTCTAGACTCAGCACCTTCCTGGAGCCTCAATTTTACCCCCACAGTAAAGCATTTAAAATACAGGCTGGCACAGTGGCTCACACCTGTAATCTCATCACTTTGGGAGTCACAGGCGGGTGGATCATGAAGTCAGAAGTTCGAGACCAGCCTGATCAATATGGTAAAACCCCATCCCTACTAAAAATACAAAATTAGCTGGGCGTGGTGGTGCATGCCTGTAATCCTAGCTAGTCAGGAGGCTGAGGCAGGAGAATCACTTGAACCTGGGAGGCGGAGGTTGCAGTGAGCCGAGATTGCACCATCGCACTCCATCGTGGACAACAGAGTGAGACTCCGTCTCAAAATAAATAAATTAATTAAATAAAAAGAATTTAAAGTATTATTTTTAGATGAAAACTAACGCAGATGCATCACAAAGCAGGAGAACATGAATTCATGTTCTCTTTTATAAAATGCAAAACCTTGAAGAAATTGCCTTCTCCACCTCCAGACCTTCTCCTTGGTTTCTGCTGTGGCAGGCATACTGCATGCCCAGGGGACAGGCAGCTTCCCCCAACCATCTCATCCTTATGATACACCCACAGGGCCGGGCTCAGTGGTTCCCATTTAAGGAATGACCCACCTGAGGCTCAGAGAAGTAAAGTGATTTGCCTGAGGTCACACAGCAACCAGGAAGTGCTGGAGGTCTTAACCACTGGACTTCCCTGTCTCTCTGAAAGCAAGCAACTTTGGGAGGGTTGTCTAAAAGGCACTTTTTTAGAATATTCTAGAATATTCCCATGGAATTCTAGGAGTGAGGGGAGGCCCACATAAGAGGGCTTCAGACTCCCCTTCTCCTCCCCTCCAACTACTCCAGGGTTTCATTTGAAGGAAGGGCCCTGCTTCGGAAGTGGAGTTTGAGATGCAGAGCTGGGCCATCCTCATACCCAGTCGGGGGCTGGGTTACCTGAGAACTCCATCCATGCCCATGCTGGGCCTCCACCCCGGGAAAAGCTGACCCGGCTGGGAGACAAGCGCCCAGGCATCTGCTCTATAAACGGCCCCAGCGCCCATCCTGCCCAGGCCCCCTCTCCCCAGCCCTCCTACCTGAAGTCTTCAGAGGCGAGCACCTCACAGTAGTAGAGAAGTTTGCACTTGGGGCCTGGGCTGTGCAGAGCAGTCAGGACGTCATCCATTCCTGGGAGGCTGCAGGCCACGCTGCCAGGGGGGCTGTGCATTTGCCACTGCAGCAGGTAGACTCCGGGCCACCGGGTCACATGGGAGCCCTGAAACACAGCAGCGCTGCCCTGAGGCCCTGGGTCTTCCTGAGGACAGGTCGAGGGGGCTGAGCCTTCTCCGGCTTCTCATCACTAGGCTTGGAAAATGGGGCTCTTCTCTCTCTGTCCCTTTCGATAGTCCCCCAGCAAATCCTCCTGTCAGGACCTCTGGAAGCCATCATTGCTATTACCCCTGTATCCTGGGGCCAGAGCCTCCCTCTTAATCTGGGGAGGAGCTGAAGCCTGGGTGTGGGGGTGCAACTGTAGGATAACAGAGGCTCTTAAACACCTGGATTTGGCGGGGCTTTTGCCCTGCTGAGCGGGATTTGCAAACCAAGGGGATTAGGAGAGGGATTGGGGCCAGGAGCTCACAGGTGCTTAGAGAGACTTTGCAGAGGGGTCAGGGTGAGTGGGAAAGGAAAGTGTTTGTTTTTTACAAGAAGAGCAACTTTGTGTGGCCAGATGCAGTGGCTCTCGCCTATAATCCCAGCACTCTGGGAGGCCGAGACAGGCGGATCACCTGTGGTTGGGAGTTCGAGACCAGCCTGACCAACATGGAGAAACCCCATCTCTACTAAAAATACAAAAAATTAGCCAGATGTGGTGGCGCATGCCTGTTAGTCCAGCTACTCAGGAGGCTGAGGCAGGAGAATCTCTTAAACCAGGTGGCAGAGGCTGTGGTGAGCCAAGGTTGTGCCATTGCACTCCAGCCTGGGCAACAAGAGCAAAACTCCATCTCAAAAAAAAAAAAAAAAGAAGAGCAACTTTGGGTTGGCCTGGGTTGAGATGTTCATTGGGATCCAGGGGTGGCTGTGAGGGGCATGTGCAGGACGGCCCTCCACCCTCTCCCCCGGGAGACTTCGGTGAGATCGCCAGCGTCTGCCAGTGCTCCTGGAGCCGGTGCTTCATGTGTGCATGTGTAATTTGGGGTGTCAAAGTGATGATCCACTTGCAATGCTGGCCTCCTGGAGAATGTGGGGGCCAATGGGGGCAGCTCATATTCTGGCTACACATCCAAGTTCCGTTCCAGGACTACAGTTCCTTTGTTTGTTTGGTTTTTTTTGAGATGCAGTTTCACTCTTGTTGCCCAGGCTGGAGCGCAGTGGTGCAATCTCAGCTCACTGCAGCCACCACTTCCCGGGTTCAAGCAATTCTCCTGCCTCAGTCTCCCAATAGCTGGGATTACAGGTGCATGCCACCACACCTGGAGAGATATATATATATAACTTTTTTCAGTAGAGATGGGGAGTCTCACCATGTTGGCCAGGCTGGTCTCGAACTCCTGACCTCAGGTGATCCACGCGCCTTGGCATCCCAAACTGCTGGGATTCCAGCCGTTAGCCACCACGCCTGGCCCAAGACCTACAGTTTCTTTTGCATCAGTTCTGAAACCGCAGTGTGCATCAGAAATCTGATTACTGTCCTCAGGACCTTAGCACCTCCCCTTCCATCCACACTAACTTCTGACCCCTCCCCAGTACTCATGCTGCCCTCATGTCCACCCACCCTCTACCTGCAGCTTCCATTTTGTTCTTTCTGTTCCTTCCACCTGGAACATCAGCCCCTCTCACCCTCTCCCAGACCTAGCCACAACTCAAGGTCTTCTTCCATATTGAAGCCCCTTCAACGCATGCAGGTGACCTGGACTTCGAATTCCAACACACTCATCCTGCCCCCGTGTGTGTTAATGCAGTGGGTTGAACAGTGTACCCCCAAAATTCATGTCCAACCAGAACCTCAGAACATGACCTTATTTGAAAATAGGGTCTTTGTGGTTAAGGATTTAGGGTGAGGCCAGCCAAAGTGGCTCACGCCTCTAACCCCAGCACTTTGGGAGGCTGAAGCGGGAGGATAGCTTGAGCTCAGGCGTTCAAGACTAGCCTGGGCAACATAGCAAGACCCCATCTCTACAAAAAATACAAAATTTAGCTGGGCATGGTGGCGGGCACCTGTAGTTCCAGCCACTCAGGAGGCTGAGATGGCAGGAGAACTTGAGGCCGGGAGGTGGAGGCCGTAGTGAGCTGTGATCGCACCACTGCACTCCCAGCCCCGCAACTGTGTCTTGATCATGGATAGAATGAGACCCTGTCTCTTAAAAAAAAAAAAAATCAGGATTTAGGGGGGGTCCTAAATGCAGTGGCTGATGTTGTTACAGGGGAGAGAGAGATTTGTGACTCAGAAGAGAGACAGACAGAGGAGAAAGCCCTACAAGGACAGAGGCAGAGACTGGGATGATGCATCCACCCACCAGTAAGACCCAGCATTGCCAGGAGCCACCCAGGGCTAGGACAGAGGCACAGAATGAACCCCTCCCTAGAGCCATCAGAGGGAGCATGGGCCTGCCCACACCTTGGTCTTGGACTTGTGACCTCCTGAACTGTGAAACAATACATTTCTGCTGTTTTAGGGCATCCAGTTTGTGATAACTCATTACTGCAGCCCCAGGAAACAAATACACTCAGATCCTGTTAGGATTCCCATATCTCAGATGGAGAAACTAAGGCTCCAGACCCTGTGCTCCTCCCTAAGACACCTGCCGCCTCTCATCAGAGTGCCTCGTGCTTTCTTGATGCTGCATCAGCTGCCTGCCATTGGGCGGGTGAGCACTTCATTACATGAGACACTGTGTGTCTTTCCTCCACCCTGTCCTGCAGGGTCCCCAAGGCTGGGGACCAGCAGCCCATCTGTCCTCTGCTGCATGCTCAGGAGCCTGGCACATGGCAGACACTCAGTGCTGCCTGGTGAGTGAATGAGGGATCCAGAGAATGCAAACCTGGATGCTCTCCCCTTCCCGGCAGACGAGGGGAGCCTCCACGCGGCTGTAATCCCTGCCCAGGACCCAGCCTTTGTCAATCAGCTGCCCGCTGGCCCTGGTCCCCGGGTCCCGGGCACCCAGCCTGGGCACCTGCTTGGTGTGATACAGGCTGAACACCACGTCCCCTCGCAGGATGTCAAAGTCCCAGGTGATGACCGACTCCCCTTCCAGAATCTCCACGGCCACCTGCATGGAGATAGGCAAAGTCTGAGAGTCAGAGCCGAGATGGAAGAGCTGGGGTTGGGAAGACGGTGGCAGGGGGGCTGCGGGTGACCCCTGAGGTCTCCTTTCCCAGGCCACATGCTTGTTCCCTACAGGAATGCCCTCTTCTTAGTTTTCTCCTGAGACCTGGCCCGAAACAGCTCTCTGGCATAAGAATCCTCATCTCGGATGGGCTTGGAGGCTCACGCCTGTAATCCCAGCACTTTGGGAGGCTGAGGCAGGTGGACCACTTGAGGTCAGGAGTTTGAGACCAGCCTGACCAACATGGCAAAACCCAATCTCTGCTAAAAATACAAAAATTAGCCAGGTGTGGTGGCACACACCTGTAATTCCAGCACTCAGGAGGCTGAGACACAAGAATCGCTTGAACCTGGGAGGCAGAGGTTGCAGTGAGCCGAGATAGCACCACTGCACTCCAGCCTGGGTGACAGAGCAAGACTATACCGCTGGAAAAAAAAGAAGTGGAGTGTTGAATAGTGGTGAAACCCCATCTCTACTAAATATACAAAAAAAAAAAAAAAAATAGCTGGATGTGGTGGCCGGCACCTGTAATCCCAGCTACTCAGGAAGCTAAAGCAGGAGAATTGCTTGAACCTGGGAGGCGGAAGTTGCAGTGAGCCAAGATCGTGCCACTGTACTGTAGCCTGGGCAACACAGTGAGACTCAGTCTCAGAAAAAAAAAAAAAAAAAAGCATCCTTAATCCTCATCTCAGGCTGTATTTTGGGGTCACCTGACCTAAGATGACAGACACCACAGCCCAAAAGACCCTCCCCTGACCAGGTCCCCCTGGCACCTCGTGAGGGGCACCTCGGAGCACACTGGCTGAATGGTAGGTCTCACTCCACTGCCGCAGCTGGTCTGCATGCTCCTGCTCCTCTTCCGTCATGTAGAGAGACTTGGGGACCAGCCCTCCTTCGGGGACGTTACACTGCAGGTGAGAGATAAAGGGTGGCCTGTCAGGGCCAGTGGAGGCCTGGCTGGCCTGACCCACAGGAGGGTGCTGTGTGACCCCAAAGCCATTCATAACAGCAACCCCTTACAGACTGGGCTGTGGGCTTCCCCCACCCAAATTAAATCCCCAGGTCCACCAATGCAATATAGACTATTCTTCCCATTTCACAGAAGAAGGAATGGAGGCTCAGAGAAGTCAGGGCACTGACCCACGATCACACAGCAGAAAGTGAGTGAGCCTGGGCACAAACCCACGTCTTCCCACCCCCAAAAATAGGGGTGTAACTGTCGCTGCACTATGCCAATTGACAGATTTCCCCAAACCAAAGGCACCCTGGACAGCCAGGCCTTGGCAGAGCCCCCTGCAACCACCAAGCAATGATTCCCCCCACCATGTTTCACTTGCAGAAACACTGAAATCAACAAGCAAGTCCACCCTTCCGTGTCCTTCCATAAGTCACTCTCAGATCTGCAGGCCTGTTTGCTAAAAATAAGTCGTGTGTGCCACATGTCACAAACGGAGAGAGCAGACAAGCCTGGAAAAATTCCTAGAAAAAGACTTTTTTAATCCAGAAATGATGCAAGCTCACTGTTTGGTACTTCCTTCTTTTAGACGCGAAGAGGGCCCAGGCCGCTGGTGACCATATGAGATGGCAGGGTTGTGACCGAGGATCACCCCAGCCTGTCATTTCACCCCCAGGGGAGGCAGGAAAAGGGCTCTGGACACTGCCTCCCTTGAAGTGGTGGCCTGATCATCTCAGGCTGTGTGGCTGTGGGTTCGAGACCAGTTCTAGCTCCAGGGTTCGGAGCTGCAGAGACATTCGAGTCACATCCCCCGCAGTGAGTAAGCGGCTAAACTCACTGCTGTGGCCGCATGCAGGGGCTCACGTCTGTGATCCCAGCACTTTGGGAGGCCAAGAGGGGCAGATCATCTGAGGTCAGGAGTTCGAGACCAGCCTGACCAACGTGGAGAAACCCCATCTCTACTAAAAATACAACATTAGCTGGGCGTGGCAGCCCACGCCTGTAATCCCAGCTCCTCGGGAGGCTGAGACAGGAAAATTGCTTGAAACCAGGAGGCAGAGGTTGCAGTAAGCTGAGATCGTATCACTGCACTCCAGCCTGGGCAAAAAGAGTGAAACTCCAGCTAAAAAAAAAAAAAGAAACTCAGTGCTGTTTAGCAATATCTTTGATGGGAATACAGAATGGGTAAGCCTTTGACTGCCTTGTGTTTAGGTTTCCAGAAACTTCTATCTCACTCACTATGTTTGAAGGACCTAAGGTAAGCCCAACCTCAGAAAGGCATCACCTCTCTTTGAAGCAGCTTCTAAAGCAAGCCCAGTGGCAGCTGGGAGCCAGCAAGGCCCTCCCCAAGCAGAGCATACGTGCAGCACCCAACCCTCCTCCACCTCCCAGCGCCACTCCGGAATCCCAGCCTCCCTGCCAGGAGGGCCCCCTCCTCCAGCCCAGGTCTGGCTGCGGACGTGGACGCCTCACCACACTCTCTCCCCCAAGGAAGTCAGGGATCACTTCTCTATCCAGATAGTCCACAAGGCCCCCGGGTCCCTGGTAGTTGCTGCCACTGTAGATGAGAAACTTGTGCCTGGTGTTCTCGTTGATGAAGGGGCTGATCTGAAATGCGGACATAAAGGCGAGATGGTAATGTATTTTTTAATTAAGACATAATTCATATAACATAGAATTAATCATTGTAAAGTGCACAGTCCAGTGGCTTTCGGTGCACTCACCAGCACTTCTATCTAGACACATTCACCTCCCCAAAAGGGAACCCCATTCCCACCCCACAGTCACAGTCAAATCTCCCCTCTCCCAGCCCGTGCCAACCACCCATCTGCACTCTGTGTCTATGGATTTGCCTATTCTGCACATTTCTTTTTGTTTTAGTTTTTGAGACAGAGTCTCATTCTGTCGCCCAGGCTGGAGTGCAATGGTGCAATCTTGGCTCGCTGCAACCTCCATCTCCCGGGTTCAAGTGATTCTCCTGCCTCAGCCTCTCAAGTTGCTGGGATTACAGCACCCACCACCATGCCTGGCTAATTTTATATTTTATTTTAATTTTGTACTTTTGTATTTTCACCATGTTGGCCAGGCTGGTCTTGAACTCCTGACCCCAGGTGATCTGCCCGCCTCGACCTCCCAAAGTGCTGGGATTACAAGTGTGAACCACTGTGTCCGGCCCTATTCCGCACATTTCATATAAAGGAGATCACATGGTACATGTGCTTCTGTGTCTCGTCTCTTTCACTGAGCCTCATGTTTTCAAGCCCTCTCCGTGTTGGAGAATGGATCAGTGCTTCCTTCCTTTTTATGGGTGAATGCTATTCCATTATGTGGTTGGAACAGTATGCCACAGTTTGTTTATTCCAAATGGAATCCATTTTAACACTGAGCTCTAAATCACATGTTGGTAAGGAAGGAAGGAGGAGAGAGAGAAGGAAGGAAGGCGTCCTTGGCATGGCAGGAGACAGGCCAGTTCAACAGGGAATGTCATAAGCAAGAGATGGATGAGGAACCTGCAATCCCCTCGTGCAGGGCCCTCTCCTGTCCCCAGCCCCATTGCCCTCTGTGCTGTGCTGGGCCCCCAGGAGGAGCCCAGCCCAGGCTCTGACTCTTACCAGCGTCCAGAGCACGGGGAAGACTCGGGGGGCTCGCACGATAAGCAGCCGGCCCAGGGTCTCTGGGTAATTGTCTTCGACCACCTCGATCATCCGCAGCAGGGCCTTCACCCCTGGCCGCCACAGGTGCCGCATGTTGAGTCCCTCCAAGTCCAGCAGGCAGGTCCAGGAGCTGCGGGAGAAACAACCCCAACTCCACCTGGCTCTGCTGCCTCCTGGGGCTACCAACACCCTCCCTACAGGGGATGAACAGAGAGGCTCCGAGAGGCAGGGCCGGGAGCAGAGTTGGGGGGGGGGGTCCTGCCACAGTGGGGAGCCCGTGCAGCAAAGAGGATCAGAGTGTGGACTTCAGGGCCGAGCACCTGAATTCAAGTCTCACCTCCATCCCTGAGAGCCTCAGGTCAGGGGCACAGACCCACCCTTTCTCTAGGACAGTGGCAAAGGGAGTAATAATCTCCATCTGAAGCAACTGCTGTTAGGATCAAGTGACATGGTATATACAAAGCTCTCTGCAAGGACAGGCATGCTGTATGCCCTCAATTAAAGCTGGTTGTCATGGCTGGGCACTGTGGCCCACGCCTGTAATCCCAGCACTTTGGGAGGCTGAGGCAGGTGGATCACCTGAGGTCAGGAGTTCAAAACCAGCCTAGCCAACATGGTGAAACCCCGTCTTAAAAAAAAAAAAATGCTGGTTATCACGAGTGACCATTTAGGCTTAGTGTTCCATGACTGGAATGCTCAACGCGTAGAAGTTATTCCTATCCTCCTGCTCAATCTCATCACCAAGGTCAGATTGTAAAAATTCAAAAACTTGTAACCTCAGGCATAAATGAGTTCACTGTTGAAAAGACGCTAACTACTAAATAGAGCAGAGATGCCAAGAGCACGCACTCCACAGTCAGACGGCCACGGTTCAAATCCCAGTTCTGCCACTTGCTGTGTGACCTTGGTCAAGTCCTTAACCACTCTGTGCCTCCGTTTCATTAGTACTCATTCATTAGGTAAATAAGTGTTTGACTGCAGTGGCGGGTGCCTGGCAGCCTCTCCCTCTGAGATTTGTTTCCTTAAACCTGCACACACCTCTGCAAAGCGTCCCTTCATGACACCTCCTCATTTGAGCCATCTGGGGTGAATTATGCTCCCAGCCAGGACACTGATTGACTCCCACTTCCACCCCAACATATATCTCCTGAGAAAATCTCCAGAGACCAGCCTGGCCAACATGGTGAAACCCTGTCTCTAGTAAAAATACAAAAATTATCTGGGCATGGTGGGGCACACCTGTCGTCCCAGCTACTTGGGAGGCTGAGGTGGGAGGATGGCTTGAGCCCAGGAGGTCAAGGCTGCAGTGAGCTGTGACTGCATCACTGTGCTCCAGCTTGGGTGATAGAGTGAGAGCCTCTCTCAAAAAAAAAAAAAAAGCTACTTTGCAGAAGAGGAAGCTGCTGCTTAGAATGGTTTGCTGCCTTTGGGGGCGATGCCGCCGTAAGTACTGGCTCTGGGAAACAGCTCAGGAACAGCAATGCGGGGGAGTCAGAGGACAGTGGGTGCCTGGATGTGCCATGGCACCCTGGAGGTTGGCCTGCGCTGGGAGACACAGCCAAGGCAGAACACGTGGTAGACAGCTGATGTCAAAAAGCAAAGTCAAGGAGATTGTTGAGCAGAGTGGCAGGGTAAAGTCTTTGAGCCAGAAGCCAGACGGGACCCCAGGTTCAAATCCAGCTCTGCCGTGAGCAGCTCACAAGCTTCGACGGGATTATCATTCTGAGTCTCGGTTTCCTCATGCATAAAAATGGGGGTGCTCACGGGCCCTGTCTTGAGGCCCAGAAGACCGCTGTGGAAACCGGAGGAGAATGAAGCCCCTAGCACACTGCCCGGCGCAACGCACACAGACAATGGACCCCCTCCATCCTCTGTTTTTGCTGTTTAGGGAGGATCTGTGCCCAGCCCAGGTTCTTGCCTGATGGGACGGCCCAGCTGCCTTGTGCTCCCCTCACACCGCTTCTGTCCTTCCTCGTTGACAGAGAGAACCTGGAGGGAGAGACAGTGCTGCTGAACGTCCACCTTGCTGCTCCACCCCATGCAGCCCTTCCCAGGCCCGGCCCGGCCACGGGGTCCAGGAACAAGGCCCCTGACTCACGTGCCGCAGCAGTGCCTCCTCCCCCACGGCCTTCATCAAGCCCTTGGTGTCCATCTGGCCCAGGCGGAGGATGTAGAGGGGGCGGCCGTCTTTGTGGGTGGGGCCAAGCAAAAAGAACAGCTCGTTATTTCCAGGGCTGCTGAGGAAGGGGCAGGTCACAGCTGCAGGTGAGGGCCTCACCTCCTCAGGCTGCAGCCCACCAAGGCCCGATCCAGCCTTCACTTGCTAACATTCCGACTGCTTCCAAGAGGGGCCGATGCCACTTATTTTGAAAGGTGGGAAAACGGAAGTGTTACAAGGAGGATAAGGGCCAGTGCAGTGGCTCACACCTATAACCCCAGCTTTTTGGGAGGCTGAAGCAGAGGATTGCTTGAACACAGGCATTTGAGACCAGCCTGGGCCAGAGAGTGAGAACCCTTCTCTACAAAACATTGTTAAAAATAGCTGGGTGTGGTGGGGCACGCCTGTAGTCCCAGCTACTTGGGAGGATGACGTGGGAGAATTGCTTGAGCCCAGGAGGTTGAGGCTGCAGTGAGCTGTGATTGCACCACTGTACTCCAGCCTGGCAACAGAGTAACAA